TCTTTTATGACGTTTAACAAATCATTAAGAGCAGAATCAAAATTGTATCAACATTTTGGAATTAGATTAAGATGCACTACTATAAAAACTGTACTTGTTCGAAAGAGAATAGTGGGTTTGGGGTGTTTTTGGTAATGGGGGTGATTCTCTAGTTATGCGAAAAAGTGTTTTGTTTAGTTTTTTACTGCTATTTGGGGTATCTGCTTACTTGGTGACTTTTTAGATGAAGGCCATTTTGTTTTTAATTGCCAATATTGGTTTTTTTTGTTTTAAATAAAGTAGTAGGTAGGCGATTCAAGAGAGAGAAATAATTCAGTGAAGTATGTACTGGTAATATATTTTATAGTTCCACAAAATGTGATTATTGCATCAGTTTAAATTTAAATTGTATGCTTATTTTTAAAGTTAAGTGATCTGCTATTAAAAACCAATTCCTCTAGCTCATAGAAAGTGCTAATGCCTTTACAGAAAATCTTGCACTCAGCAGAGAAGATGGGTAAGATTATAACACTTTTTTTTTTACAGGTAGAGTTCTTACGCAGACTGCTCCGGGGACACCCCCCAAAACTGTAACTATATCAGAAAGCGTTATTGGGACAACTTTAAGTTCTACAATACAGGAGGCACCAAATAAGATAGCAATCTCCCCTTTGAAATCCCCAAATAAGGTAAACTTATATTTCAGTTGCTTATGTATATATTGGATTTCTGACTCCAGTTTTCACATTTGAGACACATTGCTAAGGAATTCCACAGTCCATGCTCCCGTTTACACAAATGAATTGGTGTGAAAACGATTGAAATGTATGTTCCACTTCAACTATGTTAGTCTGATTTTGAAATGGACTTTCTGAAGGATTCTGGCTGTTTTCAGCTGTTTTAGAATTGTCTGCTCTCTGGCATCATTCTGCCATGGGGATTTGTGCTAAAGGGAAACTCACAAATCCTCCAAATAAAAATGAGTATGAAAGAAAGTATTATTTGAGTCAATGAAGGAATTAGATACAGGTAGTCCCTGACCTGTGGTGCGATTCAATTTTTTTTTTACTACCGGTTATGTGGGCGTGGCTTTGTGGGCATGGCAGGGGAAGGATACCGTAAAATCTCAATTTCCTCCCAATCAGCTGGGACTTGGGAGACAGAGAATAGATGGGGGGGTGGGGGGTTAGACATAGGTGGTATTTACCGCTTCTCCAAACTACTCAAAATTTCCGCTGCTGGTTCTCCAGAACTGGTCAGAACATGCTGAATACCATTTCTGTCCTTGACTTAAAATAATTCATTTAGTGACCATTCAAAGTTACAATGGCACTGAAAAAAGTGACTTGTGACCTCTTTTCACACTTACAACCATTGCGGCATCCCCATAGTCAAGTGATCAAAATTCAGACGCTTTGCAACTGATTCATATTTATGACGGTCGCTGTGTCTTGGGGTGATGTCATCACTTTTGCAACCTCCTGACAAGCAAAGTCAGTGAGGAAGCCAGATTCATTTAACAACCATGTTACTAATTTAACAATTGCAGTGGTTCACTTAACAAATGTGGCAAGAAAAGTCGTAAAAATGGGAAAAAACTCACTTAACAAATTTTTCACTTAGCAACAGAAATGTTGGGCTCAGTTGCGGTCGTAAGTCGAGGACTACCTATATTATCGTAGTAACAAAAGCAATAATTCTTGGGAAGCAAAATTGGAATTAAAACCCTGAAAACAACTCAGAGCTGCTTTGACCTATTT